AAAAAAAAATAATTTAAAATATATATAGATATAGATATAAATTTTGTGAGATGGTACGGTCCCGTTACAGAACCATTCCGTTGGGGTTTGTAGCTAACTATCCCCGACGGTTACATGACGATATAACAATTACAAAATCAGACGGAACGGTTCCATAACAGAACCGTAGCACTTTTAGAATATATTTTTTGTGTTTTTGTGTGAATCATGCATGCATCAAGATGAAACATAAATAGAAGTAAAATAATAAAACAACTTCAATCTTATTTATTATATATATAAATATATATATATATATATTGTGATTTTTTTTTAATAAAAAATTACAATTCGGGATGATGCACGGGAGGAACTCCAAGTCTCGCTCGTCGTCATCCTCAAGACGGGTTCGCCTCCACCCGTCATCACAGTCGCACCTAAAGTTAAAAGGGTAACCCGGGGCCGCCTCACAACTTCCTCTTCCACATTCAACTTCGTTACATAAATTCTCTGCAAAATTAACCGATCCATATAGTTAAAATAACTATCGAGAAAATTGACCAACAACATTCAACCCTTCAACTAATAACTGTTGATTGAACGATCTTATATCTCGATGAATCTTCATTCTTCTGCTGAATGATTGACACGACCATTTATACTTTATACGATAAGTATCTGCTGTCGATTTTTTTGACGTGTTTGCACACGTAAAATCGATCATCTAATTGGTCGAATCCTAGAGTTCGACATGAGATTATTTTTGGTCCGAGACAAAATTTAGCTAAAAAAAACACATATGAGAGATTAGTAGTTAAAAGTACTTACCAAAAAAGGGAGAAAGGCTTGGAGGAATATGGTCATCTCCTTTGGTTGCTATGGGTAGCAAAAGCACCAAAATCACTAGAGATTGGCAATTAGTGAGCGCCATTTGAGTGTGTGTGTGTGTGTGTGTGTGTGTGTTTGTGGAGGAATTAATATGTTTAGTCCAATTAATACCAACTTCTATACATATAAATAATTCATATTATTGCAAAAGCAAGCCCAAGATAAATATAAAACACACCCCATAGGTATTTATAAATTACATAATTGCCCACATTCTCTAACTTTTTGGGCCTCTCTTATAATTTTCAAAAGCTCATGGACTCCTTGTAATTCACCCAATAAAAATTGGAAAATTTGGATGTGTTCATACACCATAGATAAATATAAAACATTTATTATTGACTCTGTTTTAGCAGAAGTTTCTCTTCAACTGCTGTCTACTATATATTAAGCCAAAAAAGTCTTTAAATAAGTTTTCATTAATAATTTAGTGCTGAAAAAATGTAGCAATTTTTTATTCTTTTTTTAATAAATAAGTGACTTAATAACAATGACACTCATTAAATTAAATAAAATTTAAACCAAATATCAAAATCAAAAAATAGCTGACACGTTGGAGGACCGATTATATAATACATTTTGTCAACTACAAATCTACAAATGTATAGTTAATAATTACTTGTTGTATTTAATTTGACTTTTTGTTACATATAGTTGGTTGGTCGTTAATTGAAGCCTGAGATGGACAACTACTTTTTTCCTTTACTCAACTCAACTTTCTTATTGAGGTTTAAAAAAAATTAATTTGCGAGTTTGGCATGTCTGACCGCAACAATAAATTAATTAGGATCTTCAAATTTTCTGAAAAATTTCTTGCAAATGGCAAGTAGACTTTTCAATAAGATGTACAACTAGGGCTGCAAACAGCCGAGCGGAGCCGAGTCGAGCATTGGCGTTATCGAGCAGGGTTGAATTTTTCTTTAGCTGCTCGAGCTCGAGCTCGATTTATGAGCCTCGAGCTCGGCTCGATAAGAAAATACAATAGCTCGAGCTCGAGCTCGACTCGAAATTTAATGCTCGAGCTCAGCTCGAGTTTGGCTCGAAAATTTTTAAGTGAAATTACCATTAACCACTTGCGTTATACTATTTAAATATATAGAAGATATATTTCAGTAATTTAATATATATATCGAGCTGCTCGAAGGTCGCTTGACAATGCAAAATATGGGCTCGAGCTCGACTCGAGTTCGTGCCTGAACCACTCGAGCGAGCTCGACTCGAGCGTTTGCGAGCCGCTCGACTCGTTTGCAGCCTTATGTACAACTATGAAGATTTATGTTATCTATGTGAAGAATATGTGATTTGAACCAAAACATGCATGCATTATACTAACTGGGTAATATTCCTCAAATGAATGAACTGTTTTTTCTTATTCTTTTTCATTTAATCATAGCAAAATAGAAATTAAAATGCGCGTTTAATCCGAAAGTAGCGCAAGAGGTCGATAATGCATAATTAGCGCAAGTCGACGTTATTTAATAACAATTATCTTGAAATGCATATTTGAAGAGAGACATATGAAGAGATCTTATAGGATGGACTTGCATTACAAATCAGTGAAGTACAACTACACGTTGAATAAAATGTATCATTATAAATCAGTGAAGTATTTGATAATTTCCTCCAAGTCAGCGAATTCATCAAGAGGGTCGTTATCAATGGCGTCGTCGTCTCTTGGGTTAGACGGAACCTCGGAGACGATAGTTGCAAACTCTGTCTGATTTGGTTCTTGATGTTCTTGATTTGCCTCTTGAGGTTCTTCATTTGTTCCTTGGTGGAGCTCGGGCTCAGTGGATAAACGAGGCATGTGCCCGTACCTTGGCTTTTTATCGTTTGGTTCGGCATTATCTTGCTGCACGCTTCCCTCCCTTGATTTTTGCCGCCATTTTCCATTGCGGCAAATCTGTACAAAATGCAGGGGAAAATTTTTTCTTACTTATTGAGTCGGAAAATTAAATAGAATACGTTACATTATGCGTATTAACTATTAAAATCAAGTAACATCACACGACCTGAAGATGACTCCCGATCTGCATTCTTGTGAGGCCCGGCACATTCATCAGCTCGTGAATTTCTTTCGGAAAGCATTCTGTTCACCAAATACAAACATCTAAAATTAATCCACTTAAACGCGCAGTAAAGGCACACAATGTGTAAAAAATTACAACATACTCCCTGGCCCGAGTTGAGTGACAGCCTGCACGAATTTCCCGTGAAGTTCGGTTGTCCATTGGGTCCATTGCTTCCTTTTGGAGCCCACAAAATCGGTCAGCTGCTGATTTTTTTCCGAACTCCTTTTGGCATGCGTTGTATTTGCCTCTTGATCATTTTTCTTTTTCATTTCACGTCTCGAGGTCTTCTCCCAAAGCACGTGCTGCCAAAGGTGGTCTGTGACCTGTATCGTGGCAGGCTTTTGGACACAGAGAGTGGCTCCTTGCTCGAGAGCCCTCATACTCATTAAACTATCATCATCGTCCGTTATCACTATCATTCNNNAAAAAAAAAAAAAAAAAAAATAAATAAAAAATAAAAAATAAAATTTGAAAATGTAAAGATCGCAAAATTCGCGAAGATATATTACTAAATGACCAGAACAACACTCACAAATCACGACGAGGTCCATTCCAACTGCTTCATGCAGAAATTGGGAGACGCTCGTGTCAAGTATGTTTGCATATGCAATGACGACATCAAATCGTGTCTTCCCTTCGATCAATGTGGATAAGGCGGCGCATGTATCTTCAACTCTACTGACTAAAGTTAAAATAATCAACAAAGTAAATGATAGTAAAATCGAAAATAAGCTTTTCTTAATGTTCACAACAATATGTAGATATTCAAGTCTAGTAGACTAAGCTTAATTCAAAATTAGTGTCAAATTAGCGCGGGAGTCGTTTAATTCAAAACTAGCGTAAGATAGAGCAATCGTTGGCGCAAAATTAGCGCAACGTATTCTTGATGTCTTTTAATGCCGGCTGATCTTGGAGAGAAATTAATCTGTTAATTTTCAATTTGTGCTTTAATTAACAGGCCTTAATTAAACTGGTTTAATTTAATATTTTACCTGGATAGAAAAAGTATCGTAACATCTGCATTATTATGTCATCATTAATATCTACAAGCAAGATATTGAATTAGGTGCAAAGCCTCCCAATGAATTCATGATTTCTTTTTTTTTTTTTTTNTAACCTTTGTTTTGTGTTGTTATGTACTATGTAGTCTGTATTGAGTAATGCTAATGAACAGAGTTCTGCAAGACAAAAATAAAAATAAAAATTAAATTAAAATTGAAGTTGTGATTTGAAGCAGCAGATGAACCTGCTGTTTATATAGTGATTTGTTTGGGTTTTACTCGTTGGTTGACTTTGTGGAGCCGCTTTTTTCTCTTTTTCAAAAGCGGTTTATAATAATATATAATATTGTGTGAGATTATTACGCTAAAATACAAACTACCTTTTTCGTTACAGCATCTACAATGTATTTGGTCTAGTCTTGTATATGTGACACGTAAATAATCCAATTCTTTGATGACATGGATAAAATTATGTAAAGTTAACAAAATTCATTTCAATGCAAAGAGACTAGGTCTCTACTTGAGTTTAAAATAGACTTAAGGGTAGCCGTGTCTCTTTTTCTGGCTGCCACATCAACAAGACCCGGTCTACTTTTATTTGCATTGGAGAATAATTTTTTTTAGACAAGATCTATTTATTAGGTGACATATATTTTTTGAGATTAAACCCAAAGCACTGTGGATGCTCTTACATATTACGATATATTAGGAAGTGTGGGGCCTAAGGTTGACTAATTTTATTTCATTATTATTATTATTATTATTATTATTATTATTATTATTATTATTATTATTATTATTATTTTGTGGACTCAGAGGTATTCCCACATTCACTCTACAGCTTCACCATCCACTGCAGCCCACCAACTAACGGTAAATGGGTTATCATGCCTAGGGGATCCTTGTGCAAAGGGTGAGACTAATCCTCTCAGGATAAGTGCAATTCTTCAGTCACACTCCTCAAATAGTCAAGGTCTATCCCGTGATTTTTAGCTTTAAATGGAGCTTGACGCTCCGCTAGTCACCATTTGACCTCATAACTAATTTTATCTGTCAAAACCGTCAATTCTTTATTCTTCACATCGTATAAAGCTCATAATAGTTATAAGTACAAAGACGACATTTATGCAAAGTTAGCGCAAGATGTCGTTAATGCAAAATTGGCGTGGAAGATTTATTTCGAATTAAAATGTGATCAAGACCACATTTTTTTTTTGAATAAAAAAACTAATGTTCTCTTTTATAACCTACAAACATATTGAACTCAATATTGAACAAAAATACTGGAAAAACTTTATTAAGCTCGAGATGAGCAAAAGAGAAATTAGAGATGACGATTACAGAGAGAGAAAGTAGAGAGCGGCGGAAAAATAAAAGAATGAAAAAGATGATGTAAAACTAACCCTAATGAGCCTATTTATACCTAAAGCAAGAACAATAAAAGCGCATTATACAAAAGGCGTGTTTTACAAACCAAACACTAAGCCTATTCTATTACCACCCCCCCTCCCCCTTCGCAAGGGGCATGGATGTTCTTCATGCCCGTCTTGGAAATGTTGTGGGTGAAGGCCAGCTTGGGCAGAGGTTTGGTAAGTATATTAGCTGTCTGTTCTGATGATGAGACATGATGTAGAGAGATGATGCCCTTTGATATCTTTTCCCAGATTAGGTGGCAGTCGATCTCTATGTGCTTTGTCCTCTCATGGAAAACTGGATTATGAGCAATACTAAGGGCTGATTTGCTATCTGAAAAAACTGAAACATGTAATGTGTGAGGGCAATGCAGATCATCAAGTAAATATAAAATCCATTGTGTTTCACAAGCAGTAGAGGCTAAAGCCCTATACTTTACCTCAGCAGAGGATCTACTAATTGTGTTCTGTTTCTTGGATTTCCAAGATATCAATGAATTACCCAAAAATACACAATAACATGTTATGCTCTTTCTGGTATCAATGAAACCGACCCAATCACTATCACTGAAAGCTGTGAGTTGAATTTTAGAAGCTCTGGGAAAGAATATACATGTGCCCACTGTAGCTTTGATGTACCTTAATACCCTGTGAGTTGCTGCAAGATGATCCTGATTTGGCTGGGACATGAATTGACTCAGGAATTAGATACTATAAGATAGATCAAGCCTGGTTATAGTCAAGTAAAGTAACCTTCCCACTAGCCTTCTGTACATAGTAGCATCAAGAAGATCAGATTTAGACTGAGATGAGAGTTTAAGGGTACTTTCCATTGGTGTAGTAGAGGGTTTGCACCCTAAGTACCCAGCATCAGTAACTATGTCTAAGGCATACTTCCTTTGGAAAATGTTTATGCATTTGTCAGAATGAGCTATCTCAAGACCCAAAATGTATTAGCTTACCAAGGTCTTTTATAGTGAAACAATTGTCCAAATGAGCCTTGATTTTATTAATTTCATCCAAGTTATCACCAACTAATATAACATCATCCACATAGACAAGTAGTGCAATGAAAAAGGATCCAGTGGATAATGTAAACAAAGATGTATCAGCAGTAGATTGGTGAAAACCATAGGCAAGCAAACAAAATGTCAACTTATGGAACCATTGTCTAGAGGCTTGTTTAAGGCCATATATACTTTTCAATAGTTTGCACACTTTATTTTCAGCATTATAACCAGGAGGAGGTGTCAAATACACCTCTTGAATTGGATGAGATGTAACAAGCAGAAATAAATTTTGAATTGGATGAGGTGTCATATACTTGTGAACTAGATAACTGATCAGTTGATAAAAAATTTTGAACTGGATGAGGTGTAACATGCAGAAATAAATGTGTTTCTGTTTGGACAGAAGAAGAAGATGGCAGAGAATGTTGATAGTTATCCAAGTATGAAGGTAATATGTAGTGGATGTAGTGGGTTGAGAGGAAACAATAGGGATGTTTGTGGGAATGGTAGGAGACTGAGTTGGGGAAGAAGTTGGTGATGTTCTGTTTGTATTTGTAGACAAGGTAGGTAAGGGAATCTGGGAGAGATAATTGTCATGAACAAAGAGAGGTGGGGTAGGAAGCATTGTATCAGATATGAGATTGGTTGTCTGGGATTCAGAAATAGAAGGATCAGAAATGGTTTTAAAAAGAAACACATTTTCATAAATAATTACATGCATGTATATTAATATTTTCTTGGTTTCCAGAATTATAGAGTTTATAGGCTTTACAACCTAATGGATAACCTAGAAGTATACATTTGGATGCTCTTGGTGCAAATTTTGATCTATGAGCTTGCAAATTAGAAGAATAGCAGAGACAACCTATGACTCTCATAAAAAATGGAAAATAGAGATGTGTTTTTCAAAATAGGTGTAGGTATTCTATTGATGATGTGTGCAGCAGCCATGATGCAATCAATCCAGAATTATAATGGCAAATTTGAATGAAATAAAATTGCTCTAGAAACTTGGAGAAGATGTTGATGTTTTCTTTCTACTCTTGCATTTTACTGTGGGGCTTCAACACAAGAAGTTTGATGGAGAATGCCAGTAGATGAGTAAAAATCAGATAGTATAAATTCAGTTCCAATGTCTGATCTTAGAGTTTTGATTTTGCACTGGAATTGAGTTTGAACCATGTTTGAAAAATGAATCAATGATTGTTTAGTGTCAGATTTAGAAATAAGAGGATATATCCAAGTGCATCTACTATGATCATCAATAATGGTGAGAAAGTACTTGTGCCCAGAATGGGAAGGGGTTGCAAAAGGTCCCCAAATATCACAATGTATTAACTCAAAAATATGAGATGTAATACTAATAATGTCATTGAAAGGCAATCTTTTCTGTCTTGAGAAATGACAGACATCACATGGTCGAATATAATGAGATTTGAACTAATTTATGCAAACATGCAGTTGTGTCAATTTATGAAATGATATATGACCTAACCTGTTATGCCAAAGTAGGGAATCAATACTATCAGTATGTGTCTCATTGGAAACAACAGAAGCAGAAATATCAACCATACCAATAGTATCAACAGATTTAGTTTCAACAGTATCAGCAACAACAGTATCAATGTTATCAACAGGTTTTACATGGTGAGAGCCATCAGAAGAAGAATTAAAGACAACATTGTCATTAGCAACATGAGAAGATATATTGTTAGCAACAGTATTGTGAAAAGATAGGTGGTAAAGACCATCCCTCATGTCAGCAAAACCAATCATTTTCTGAGTTTGAAGGTCTTGTAAGATACAATAAGAGGAGACAAAATTGACCATACAATTGTTGGTAGAGCATAGTTTAGAAACAAATATTAAGTTGAAAGTAAAAGGTGGTACATATAATACATAAGACAGTACAAGATTAGGTCCCAGTTGTAACTAACCCACATGACTTGCCTTAGTATGTGCACCATTAGGAAGGTTAATTTTGATCAAAATAGGT